GGCTTATGCACTACCAATGAGGGCCAGCCCTTTTCTTTTTAGCATTTGGGTAGGCTATTGGTGACGAAGTCTTGCTTTTGCAGTATAACTTGTTTTATGCAGAAAGGGGTGTCTTGAATTAGGGAAACATTTACTTTGTCATGTATTTTATTGTCAAAGCCACAACCTAACATTTTGATATTATTATAATTCCATATTCTTGATGTATTCCACCACAACATGAGTCTATTAGTAACAGAATAAACAGAATAAAGATGCTAGTAGTTACTGAGTGGTCTTAAATCTACAAATAAAGGTGTGAACTACCTGTATTTTTATTCCATTAAAAGCAAAATACTTTCAATGAATATCAAGTGTTGGTAATAATTGACACCCTGTCCCCGCTTCACATATACATCATCATACAACAAAAGGAAAAACGATAAATACTAAAACGTATCAAAAGTGGGGCTTAGAGTGTAATACAGTGATAGAGCACATACCTAAGAACAGGAGGCTCTGGGTTGAATCCTTAGCATCACAAACAACCCCTCCCCCAACAAATATAAAATGATATTTGGGAGGAAAAACATTTCAGTTTCCTCCCAGTAGGATCTTTTCACATGGTTAACAAATGCAAGAATGTGCTTTAAATACTCTAAAATTTTTAGGTACCTCACATTTTCTTTTTAGTTTGAATTGTAGTTGGCAGAGTAATCAAGTACATGATTTAAATAACTAACTTGTTTACATTGTTTAGATTTATAGATCAGGTTAGATCTGAAATGCCATTTGAAAGAGCAAGGGTTTTGTAAATTTAATTTTTTATGAGACTGACTGAGGTTGTTTTTGTTTTTGTCCATTTAGGTTTTATAGGTTCACATTAATAAAAGCACCATGGAGTTTTATGAGTCAACATATTTTATTGTCCTTATTCCTTCAATAGTTATTACTGTAATTTTCCTCTTCTTCTGGCTTTTCATGAAAGAAACATTATATGATGAAGTTCTTGCAAAACAGAAAAGAGAACAAAAACTTATTCCTACAAAAACAGATAAAAAGAAGGCAGAAAAGAAAAAAAACAAAAAGAAAGAAATCCAGAATGGAAACCTCCATGAATCTGATTCAGAAAGTGTACCTCGAGACTTTAAATTATCTGATGCTTTGGCTGTAGAAGATGAGCAAGTTGTACCTGTTCCATTGAATGTGGTTGAAACTTCAAGTAGTGTTAGAGAAAGAAAAAAGAAGGAAAAGAAACAAAAACCTTTACTTGAAGAGCAAGTCATCAAAGAAAGTGATGTATCAAAGGTGCCTGGCAAAAAAGTAGAACCTGTCCCAGTTACAAAACAACCCACCCTGCCCTCCGAAGCAACTTCCTCAAAGAAGAAACCAGGGCAGAAGAAGTCTAAAAATGGAAGCGGTATTGTAATATATTTAACTTCATTGCATGTTTGTAGTTAGATGAACCCAAGATTATTCTTTTTACTGTGTGTTTGCCTTCATTAACATTAATTGCTATTAGAAATTACT